TTATTTAGAGCATTATAAATTTGCTTAAAAGTTGTAAATTCAATAGAAAATAGTTCATTATTTCTCAAATCATGACACAATGATTCAATATCCACATATAATCCTCTTCAGTTTGCATTTCTGACACGACGACGAGGTGGAACAATTGCATCTGAGAGTCCAATTTCCATACTTGTTATTAGCTTTTCAAAGTGGAATTTAGACACAATGGTACGATCCACTAGTTTATTTTTGAATCGATCAAAATGTGTACTTGACTGGGTTGACTCGTTCTTGTCATCATCAAGAAATGGTGTTATTTCTCTTTCTGCATATTCATGCAACATCCCTATATTAAGCTTGGCTTGCCATCGTAAACGCTGGTATAATTCCTTTTTTCGTCCCTCACCCTTATTATAAGTCATGTAATATTCATAAACATATGTTCATGACAACACTCTTCTGCTATCCACAATTTGTTGCCACACCTCTATTAAAAAGTTGAGTCTTTCATTTGGCAAATGTTGTTTGTCGCACAATTTTGGAATATCTTCTCTTTCAATTGATTTTTAAATCTTCTTGAGCTTTTCTCATCGACTTTATGTTATTTAACCAATGCTCGAAATAGTATGAATATTTCCTTAATGCCTTTTGATTCTCTATCTTACTCTCCTCGATTTTACGCATATTATCAGGCATAATGCATTGTGTATGAGTTGTCCAAGGATTTAGGCACAACCAACAAAACTCAAAGTCACAAGGCGGGCTACAAGTCATATGCATACAACTAGTGTTCTTTTCGATTGACCTCGAACATTTAAGACAAGGTTTTGTGAAAGCTTGTATCCACTTCATATTACCTTCATCTGATTCATTCTTCAATATCCACTGTTTCACGATGTCACAACCCACAGGACGATGAGCCTCACAGCTACAATGCTAACGAAATTTATGATGACATGCACATGACACACCATAAATCCCATTTGTCCCTATCACAACTAGACCAATTGCAAATTTACAGTCTGGAGCGGGACACCACTTTATAGTTTTATTCTTTTTATCTACATAAACTCGAGTAAGATAACTAAGATATTTTTCTTTTTGTACCTTAGTGGCCAACCCAAAAATCATGTCTTGGTAGATAGTTGTACCACAAGATGGCTTCGGACACCTCAACTTCAAACAACCACAACCATTTTTAATGGCTATGCTTATGTAACCAACCCAACAATCTTGACAAAAGCCATGACCACAAGAAGCTGATTGAATCTTATCATGACTATAAGATTCGAAGCAGATCCCACAAGTAATAACATTATCGAAACTTAAAACTTTTGATAGATCTTCAATTAGCAAACCGACCTTTTCACGAACTTCATATTCATTAGTGCTCCAATTATGATTGAGGAGTAAAATACTTGCTTGAATTTTGGTATTGACAGTTTAATAGATACTTCTTCGATCTCGGTCTCCATCTGCTGGAGTATGTCAACCTCATCAAATATTGCAAATTTTGTCAGATTTTTTTATTATTCTTTGATATCATTGTTACTAGCGAGATCATGGATGTATTTGTCGTATAGATTTATATCAAAAATGTTATCAGCCTCAAGCAAGTGATTAACTTCTCTTGGATCCATAGCAAGATTGTTGTAATTAAAGTAGAGAA